GCACAGTGAACAATCTTGTACGTATGTCTCAGCATACTTGGTATATCTTGGGGTAAATTCCTAAAAATGCAATTGCTGTATCAAAGAGGATGTGAATTTTATTTTTATTTTGTTTACATATTGGTCTGTGTGACTAAAATTTTGGTACCTATTTCCACACTGCTCTCTAAAAATTCAGTGCAGTGTCCTCTTCTAGAAGAGCATAATAATATTTATGATCACTCCTCCCTCAGGCCCTGCCCAACCCTGGGCCTATTGTGTTTACACAGCACATTTAATGGCCTCCCTTTTCTGGGCGGCCAAAGGACGTTTGAAGACTGTTGTTACCCAGTATATGGGCTTCTTGTCTCTCCTGGATGAACCAAAGAAGAAAAATGCTCCCTGAGAAGCTGGTGAGAGTGTCTGCAGGGCCCAGCTGTGGCGGGCAGGGCCTCCACTGGGGCTCTCTGTGGGAGTGAAGGTGAAGTTTCAGGAGAGAACAGTCCCTGCCTTTGTGCTGACTCACCTTTGCTCTTCCTAGTCCCCACCCTGGTAAACACACAGCAGTTAGTGACGCTTTGCCTTTGAAAGTCAGTCAGAGAATCAGGGAGCCGGGTTCTTCCTCCGCATGAGGGACTCCTGTGTTTGGTGCCACCTCTTAAAGGTGAGGAACAAACCAGGCCATTATGTGGATATGGGCATACCCCACCTTCTAGAGCTGTGTTTGAATCCATTGCTTTTTAACAAGCTGAATCATCATTGGAAGCTAAATGTAGACCTGAGAAAGTCTGCACTCAATCTTTACCTAATGGGAAATGTCTACCTCATAATTTGTAATAATTGTCAGGGCTAACTTCATCATCATCATCGTCATCATCATTATTATTATTTCTTAGCTGGTGCGTCAGCAGCTACATTCCTTCCTGATGAGTGATGCTTATTGGAAGTACCTTGCTGAGTACCCTCCTTGTTTAAAATGTTACCATTTTTAGTGGGGGAAACAAAAGGAGTCACCCGCCCAAAAAGAAGCCTGCAGAAGGGAAGGAAGCACACTCTTGTTGCGGCGACAGCCTGGTAAACTGGGCCCTTGCCATCTGAGGAAAATGGCCCTCCTCACAGAGATGGGGAAGGCCCATTGCTGCCCTCCTCCCAGCACGCGGCCCAGGGTGTCCTGCCTCTACCCTCCCCGTCAGGGTGGGAGGAAGAAGGGAAGGGGTCAAGGTTTTTTTGCCCCAGAACCAACTATAACTTATGTTCTCAGAATTCTAGGACAGCAGTTTGTCATCTGAAGGCAACTTGCAGACTCTGCCTCCGAGGACGTTGTCTAGGGCTGTAAATGAGAACCCTTGCCCTCTGTGCTCCCTGCTCACTCCCTGTCAGCGGCTGTGTTCCAAGGGAAGCCTCTGGAAAAGTCAAGCTATGATCTAACTCTCTTGTCCCCTAATGAAAACAGAAAACGCTTTCTCTGTTTCACCGTGGGGAACTTTGAAGCTTCGCTGGGCTGGGATGAGAGTCTACGCATCCATGTTTGGTTTCTGGCTTCCCGGATAAAGTTCTCACCCTCTGCTAGAACTTCCCAGCCCAGCCCTGGCCTGGCTTTCATTTACCTGTTGGTGGGTTCTGACCTTGTCCTCGACAGTCTGGGCAGGTCAGCTGTCCCTGAAAGGCTCTCGTTGGTCCCACCCTTCCCAGCTACCTTCCCTCCCTCCCTTTACCTCATCTGAATTGTGTTTTTGTGGGAGGAAAGGGGTGGAGGAAAAAGGCATAGTAAGGGGGCGTCAATAAAGACAGAGAAGTTAAAATAGAAGATCTTGGGCAATTTACAGCTTTCTCAGTAAAATAGAGATAATAATACATAGTATGGGATGATAGTGAAGGCAGATGAGTTCACATATGTTAACTAGAAATGCCTGGGAGAAGGAGGGAGAGAGAGAAGGAGGGATTGAGAGAGAGAAAGAGAGATTGATTTGTGACCACTTGGATCTGGGAAATGCATCCATAAAAAATAATTCCAGTGTTTTAGTCTTTGATGCTAAGAGAAGGTGATCATTAATAAAGATCATATGTCTTTTTAATGATGAATTCAGTTTTGAAAGCGATCTGTCATTCAGTTGCCATCTTAAACGTAACAGACGGAAATATGCAGTAGGGAGATGGTGTGAAACCATGATGTTTGGATGAGTTTGCAATCACAGCGACTTGGGTTTCCATCTTCCCTTTGCTATTACTAGTTGGGAGATCTGTTTCCTTCTACCCAGCATGGGAACGTTAACCCCTCTCTCACAGGGTTGTTGGGAATAGTAAAAGGAGCAACAGCCACGAATCAAATAGCTCATTACCTTCCTTATGGTAACTGCTCACTCACACTATTCGTTCCTGATCCTCTTGGACACAGAGGTCTGGAGACCCAGGGTCTCGATACTGTTCAGTATCACGGGATATTTGAAACTATGAGTATCAGTGAACTCCACAAGGAGCCCTGTTATACTGGGGAATAACCGTCACTAGAAGGAGGATGACGCCACCTCTGAGACGGGACAGACAGTAATGTATCACTCTATAATGAGACGGAGAAACGACAGTTGGATTGCACGCCAAGACCGACTAGGGTTCCCTTGAGAGGGCAGTTTCTGTGGATCAGTACAAACACGTACACTATCACACAGAGCTCGCCATTTCTTGTCCTTTGCAGAAGTTAAATAACAGCTTATTAACAGTCCTGTTTTGTTCAAATGTGCTTACATTTTTCAAAGAGAAAATAACATTTTTGGCCTCTTTTAAGTAGGTGGGTATTTATTGAGGTTAAAAACAAACAAACAAACAAACACACCTATGGTCAGATACTCCGGGACCTTAGTTTTCTACGCAGAGAAATTTTTGTGGGCGTCCCGAAAGAAGAATGAAGCTGCAAAAGGAGGGAGGGTGGAGGAGGTTAGGAGTCCCCGGGAATCTTTATCTGGTTAGAAGTAGACTGTGGACTCTTGATTGAGGTCCAGTGAGTCATGCTGTGCCAGTGCTTTTTCTCTCTTTCTGCTTTGCCACAAGAGGAAGAAGGAGTGGTGAGGTCTGAGGTAATTTTGTAGAACTGATGCTGCATTGTGGTTCTGAGAAGGCCAAATATATCATATAAACAGTTTCCCTCTGCAAGGCAGCATGGGTGGCAAGACTTCCAGAACCGCTTTGTGGAGCTTGAGCCCATGGCACTAGTATGCTTTTCTTATGGTGGCCCCTTCATGGCTGGTTTTTAGCTTGCTTTTCCCTTAGAATTTACTCTTATCAAAGGACCCTTGTCTCTTGCAGAGAAAACATTAAACAGTTTTTTCAAGTGAAATTTAAAATGGTGTCCATCTTGTTTCCTCCCATCTCCTCCTTTTCTTGAAGAACCTCCTATTACCTTTTTTCATCCTAGTTTTGATGTCTGAGCAGGTGGCCTTTCTAGATACGCTTATTCAGAATTTTTCTCTCCTTTGCCCTAACTCCCCCCAAAAAGTGAAATCCTAAGAACGGGCAGGAGAGGCAAGTCTCATTCAGCTCAGTGCCCACCACCCGTGTCCAGTGTGTTACACGACCAGTAGGATGCATGAAGTATTTGAAGAGAAGGGAGAATCTTCTGATATCCTGTCATGCAATATTTGCCGTTATTTCATATGTATTAGCTGTTTTGCTCCAGCGAATGTAGATTATAATGAATATCCTTCCTTCTCTAGTCTTCTCTGGCAAATTCAAAATATTTTAGATGCACTTCAAATGGCACCTTCTGCAGAAAATTATTTCTGTCTCTCCTAGGATAAAGGCGTCTCCCCCCACTCTTGGAACACCCATTTTACATGCATTTACAGATTGACTGTTACTGAGGCACGAAGCACTTCAGCCCATATGTAGATGTCCTCCAAGCATGGTGAGCTCCCCAAGTGCAGCCACCATGTTGCTCCCCTCTGCCCCAACCCCAGGACTTGGCACATAGCTGAACACATGGGGGATCCCACTGCAGAGATGCCTAGTGAAAGGAAGCCGGCAGGGTGTTCAGAAGCCAGCCCTGGTGTTGTGTTGTAAATCCAATAAGCAGACGAGGGCCCCAGATTCTTCTATCCAAGGAGGCATGGGGCCAGATGAGGCCCTCCTGTCCATGCATGTTCTGTGGTCATGTTTGGACCAGCCTGCCCACATCCTCGTTAGTATAGCAGTGATCTGTCATTAAAACATAGCTTATCTTTTGCATGTGGGAGGCTAATAGTACGTTGCCAGTGATAAGTTTATGGAGGGAAAGTAATTTAGATGGCTTGAGAAATTATGACAAACGTGACCTAGCGATTGTGTGATACATATTCTTCCACTTCTGAGTTGCATCATAGGATTTGCAAAGCAAGTCTAAAAAGTTTCCAATTTAGGGGCTGGCCCCGTGGCCGAGTGGTTAAGTTCGCGCGCTCCACTGCAGGCGGCCCAGTGTTTCGTTGGTTCGAATCCTGGGCGCGGACATGGCACTGCTCGTCAGACCACGCTGAGGCAGCGTCCCACATGCCACAACTAGAAGAACCCACAACGAAGAATACACAACTATGTACCGGGGGGCTTTGGGGAGAAAAAGGAAAAAATAAAATCTTTAAAAAAAAAAAAAGTTTCCAATTTATTGCTTGTTTTCACTGATAAATTGTACAAAACAATAAGGTTGAGGGAATTATTGGAGACCGTCGATCATTTATTGTGCTGTACTCTAGACACTGTTCCACGCTTTGTATGTGTCATTTTATTTAATCCTTACAACAACTCTGAGATGCGTTTTATTTCTCTCGTTTTACAAATGAGAAAAGAGAAGCTGAAGTGACACTGTGAGCTTAGGTAGCCTTTCCCCACTCCGCTTAGTGGTGGCCAGGCTGAAACTTGAATTCCAGTCTGTTGATAGCAAGATCTTTTTGTTGGCTCTGCTTGTTCTGCTCCATTTGATATGAGGAATATTTGGGAACATTTTTTTTCTCTAGGAGAAAATAAACTATTCCTAATAATTGTGTGTTTTGTGTTCTCAGGGAAGCAAAGGTGCCTACCGCTACCATTGGCAGAGCCACAATGTCAAGCACAGCGGTGTGGACGACATGGTCCTGCTCTCCAAGATCACAGAGAACGCCATCGTGGAGAATCTCAAGAAGAGATACATGGACGACTATATTTTTGTATCCTTTATTGGTGTCTTTGGACATTTGTAAGTGAGATGACAATGTCCATGGTAAAACGTGGCTTTACTCCTAGTGTAAGAAGATCTGTGTGAAATTCTGAACTGACGTTGTGCTCACATCATTTTCACCATTTCAGAATGTGGTTTTCTATTTTTTTGTCCCTTGGTTCAGGCTGTGGGAAGGACAAAGAGGATGCTAAATTATTTTCCTGGCATTTCACAAAATCAAGGTGCAGCCAATATTCATCTGTTTTAATCGATGGCACTGGACCTTTGACGTCGTCTAGCCATGCACGTGGTGTCTAAAACCTCTGCTGTGCCTAAAGTCCCTGTGTGCAGACAGTTCTGTCGATAGGGCTCCCTAATTGCAAAGCAGAGACAGTTAAGTCCAGACTTAAAAGGTTTAAAAAAGCTTACCTTATGCAAAAAATATGCAATTTTGCCAGTTTTTCTGCATTCTTACGTTTACTAAAGGCAACATGAGAAATGAAGATCAACTATTGAAAATGCTTGACCTTCTTGAGTTGTTCTCCATGTTTCAGCTTTAGCTTGCCAGCTGCCATTTTTTTAACAGGGCTTTTAAAAATTCAGAATGGAAATTTGGCTCAAATGTGTGTTGACTTCATTATAAACAAAGAAGTGTGATATTTACTTAAGTTACTACAGGATTCAGGAGTTTGGTTTGGTGCAACTACGTAAAGACCTTTTAGTGAAATTGCCGTAGAGTTGGTCATAGACATGCAAAGAGCCGTGGAAATCTATACAGGAGTCCCAGAAAGATTAATTTAATGCTGTTGGTGACTCCTGCAGGTATGGTGTTATGAATGACGGTTACAGGGGGCGTCTTTGTAGCTGTTGTAACATGCCTTTTAGATTTTAACCCCAAAAGCTTAGGAAGGAATGGTTTTCATATTGCCAGCTTCTGTTCATTATTTATACCACTCATTTGACTATTAATTAAAAATACTTATTCTTATACAACAACGCTTATGTAGAGACTGCCTATCTCATCATTGGTGAAGGCAGAGTTCAACTCGCCAGGTAATTTATCTAGCAATACTAATTAATAACCTTATCCCAAGGCACCTGGACCCTTCTGACCAGTACTGTGCTGTTTCTTATTTACTGTAGGAAATTTACCAAAGATCTGGGTACTTAACTCCCTAAGCCCCTGCTTTGAAGGGTTAATAGATGTATTTGGATTTATTAGCTACATTATAATAGCATCCTGATCAGGGGTGTATGGCCCATTTTGTAACAAAATCCTGCCCACCGCCTATTTCATAGCAAAAGTTGCATTGGAACACAGCTCTGCTCATTCGCTTACATACTGTCTAAGGCTGCTTTAATGCTACAATGGCAGAATTGAGTAGTTGCAACAGACCATATCACCCGAAAAGCCTAAAATAATTACTTTCTGATCACTTACGGAAAAAATTTGCTGACTTCTAGATACCTGTGTAAAATTTCCTTTAATTGGATGGAAGCTGTTGTAGTGAATTGTAAGTTTTTATTGTACTAAAGTTAAAAACTTGAAATATGCTCACTTTATCTGGGCTTATCACTATCAAAACATTTTAATCAGTTTTATGTGCAAGACCCACGGCACATGGAAACTGGCAGATGGTAGACTAGAAGAGCTGGATGCGGGATGTGGATCCCCACTGCCTGGCTTCCAACCTTACTCTGCGTGGGCTTGGTCACCTTGTGCAAGTTTTGTGGTCTATATGCCTTGCTTTCTTCACCTATAAAATGGAAGAGAGTGTAAAATCTCCCACAGGAGGCTGTTGTAGTGTTAGATGAAGTAATGAATGCAGTACGCATTAGTTATGATTATCATACGCTAAGGCAAGTGTATAAGTTCCTCCTATATTTCTGAGTTAGGTTCCAAAAATTTACTTGTAAAGTTGCTTATTGGAAATTTAACTACATTTTAGCATAGAAACTGTTTTAAATGGAGGATTGGTTTATTGACAAGCCCATAAAAGGATAATTTCCACTGTTCCGAGGACCTGGGCTCAGCTTATTACATTATTTACATAGAAACTTGGTTTTTGACAGCTGGGTAAGATAAGAGGGAATGATGTCAGTGGTAATCAGCAGTCAGTCCGTGGTCAACCCACATAGCCTTACTTCTCCCCGTAAAGATTATTTACCTCTAAAACACCAGAAACTCCTTGAGGATGGGGACTATTTCTTGTATGTCTTCTTTCAAAAAACAAAGTTGAAAAGTTCTTTGCAGCAATCTATGTTCCTTTAACATGATTAATAAAATGTAGTCAAGCAGGAAGAGCACTAAAATCATCTGGAATCCCACCATATAGGGTTAGTTCCTGTTAACCTCTTGGTGTATATTTTTCAGTTTAATGGCAAATAAACATGTATATTTATGTGCTTTCTTGCTGTTAATTTTAACAAAAATAGCATCATCTCGCATCCTGTATTTCTTAGTTTCTTGCATAATTCTTGGCATGGTGCATTGTATTAAGTGTTCATTGGAAATTTGTTGACTATCAAGACTTGCTTTTTATAGTCAGATAGCAGAATTTTTAATGACTCACGCAGAGGGGGCTGATTATGAGCCGTTGAATTAATGCCTTTGAATCAATGACTGACTAATCATGTGTTCTACCAAGGAAATGAGTTAGTTGACCACTGATGACTTCGTGTTTCAGAAATCTCTACCCACTCAATAGCTGAGAAACTCGGCGTCAATGTGCTCTCCGTCAATAGCACAGAGCAGCTTTCAGCTCCGAGGAAGCTTGATGGCTGTGTTGGATGTTTATGAAATATTACCAAGGGTCTAACTACAGATCTTTTCCTCTGTGTGGTAAAAGGCTCCTTTATCAGTTCAATGTTAGGGGGATATTATTATGATAGAGTAGCATTATTTTAAATGACGTGGGTTTTTTCCCTCTCTTTCCTAATCTTAATATAACTGTATAACTTAATATAGCTCTATAACTGTAGACAATATAACTACAGACAAGAAGAGATTCAATTTCACATTAAGTTACAAAATCGCTCATTTTACCTTTTCTGCACCTAATATGAGCATGTTGTTTGTATTGAAGATCAGCATTTGGAACAATCAATTGTTAATGCATTCAGCTGAATGCACATTTCTTTGTTTCATATTTGAAAAAAACTACTTAGAAAATGCTGACACTGTTTACCAATAAAAAAACCATATATTTCAGCTATTTATCCTAAGACAAAGAAGGCTTAATTTACCACCTGTTTTTCCTCAGTGTTGCCACACTTCTTACAATGACATTCTCAAACATATGAGGAAAACATTGCAGTGTTCGCTCTCCTACTTGGCGAGACGTCATTTATAGCCACGTGGCTGGTGAAAACAGTTCCATGCAAAGCGCTCCACGCTCATTTGGTCCAACTTTCTCCAAACTTGTTTTTACTCAAAGACCACGCTCAAGTGTGTTTGGCATTTTCAGCCCTTGAATTAGGAGTTGAGACTTTTGTACCAGACCGACCAGAGCTCAAGGCCATTAAGTTGTTCTGAGGGAGGTGTGGCCCTTGGCAGAGAGTTCACGTCGAGGGGGCAGTAGGGCAAAGTTCACGGGATGAACTTTGGTCTGATGGTTGGAGACAGAGGCTCAAGTTCCAGCTCAACCCTTCTCCACATATGTGACTTCAAGCAAGTCACTTCCCCTCCCTGCCCCACCTCAGTGATAAACCTGGGGAAGGTGCTAGATCAGTGTGGGTGGTTTTGGGGAATTCACTGGCTAATAAAATTTTTTTTTTTTAAAGATTTTATTTTTTCCTATTTCTCCCCAAAGCCCCCTGGTACATAGTTGCATATTCTTCATTGTGGGTCCTTCTAGTTGTGGCATGTGGGATGCTGCCTCAGCGTGGCTTGATGAGCAGTGCCATGTCCGCGCCCAGGATTCGAACCAACGAAACACTGGGCCGCCTGCAGCGGAGCAAGCGAACTCAGCCACTTGGCCACGGGGCCAGCCCCAATAAAATGTTTTTTTAGGGTATCTTACAGTTTCTAATAGGATTCCTATAACAAAACTCAGATGGGGGATTTTTTTTAATTGAGATATAATTGACATATAACGTTATATTAGTTTCAGGTACACAACATAATAATTTTAAAAAATGTGTTTTTTTTAAAAAAGTAGAACTCTTACCTTTGCCTAATAAGACCATTAAAGAAACTTACAAAAGTTGTACTACCATCACATTTTATAAACGAGAGACTATTTTAACACCAAAGAAATAGACTGGAAATAATTTAAGAATAAAAGACAGTCCTTTATATTGAATAAATTGAGGTTTATGAAAAATTCAGGGCATCGTTGCTTTTTTTGTCATTCTTGCTGCAGATCAATGAAAACTCATAGATCCATGGACAAGCATTTGGGAACCATCAATTGAAGATCTGTTGGGTCCCTTCTGTCTCACACACTCAATTAAAAAAATAACATTTATTATTTATTTATTTTTTTTGGTGTCATAGCCTTGTTTCTCCATACGTTTTGAAAATTACCCTTGGGCCACACCTTCACAGCCAAAGATCATGTGGGTAGAGACAATGATCAGAACAGCTTTTTCCAAAGGCACACCTGAATTATGTAGTAGGCAGTGGGAGTGAGTATTCCAGTTATCTGGAGAAGTGACCCAACCCAGGAGGAGACGTGCGCTCTCAGGGAAGTAGCTGAGGTCTCTGCAGACCCAGCCAGTAGGGAAAAAAGGTGGGCAGTTAGGTAAACAGTTAGGCCAAACTCTTACCTAAAATGACCAAAATATGTTTGTTTCCTTTAAATTCTACATTAAATTCTCTTGTCTGAATTCTTCTGATATAGGAAAGTTTATAGCTATGTAGGCAGACATACGAGCTACATTATCCATTTCAAACCACACTTTATTTTTCAGGAATCCTCCCGAGTAATATTGGCCTTGAGAGCCCTGCTGGGAAATGTAGGGAACAGCTACAGTTTTCCCTCTTCATTCATTGATTCGAGATGGAATTGTTGGTTCAGGATTGGCCTACAATAGTCCGAAAGAGGTTTTTCCTCTTGAGTGTCTCCTTTCCAGGCCCTTCCCACAATTTGTATAGTCTACTTAGTGAAAATCGAGACTTTCCAAGATGTCTCTTCACATAGCAGATTATTAACAGGAAAAAGATGTTGGTTCCTATAAGAACTGTTATGCAATCCGATCCATATTTACTGGGTAACCAAGAGCTTGGTGAGTAGAAAGGGACCGGTGGGGAAGTGATACCGTTGACTCATGTCCTCAGGCAGCTCTTTATTCTTTGTGTGCAGTGACCGATTTGTCTAGGACAAGTGGCATTCACAGTCTTCCCTTTATAACTGAGAGAAGGAGCATCCTCCTCTGTGGAAAGGTCCTGTTTGCCAAAGTTTGTTTTTGCCTGGAGATAAATGTAAACCTAGACGTCCCCCCTCTTCTGAAATGAGGATGGTCATAGCAGTGCTGTATTTCTGGAAAATTTAGTTTACCATACAAATCACTGTATTTGTTTACCATGAGAATCAGAATGAGGGCCAAATCTCATTCATTGAGTTTTGATTTGGTCCCCACCATGTGGAAAGGATACTAGAAAAATCAACTAAGAGAGGGAGAGTTTTGAGTACTCAAAGAATCCTAGGATCTAAGTTGCAAGAGATCATAGAGCTCTCTCATCCAACCGCCCGCCACCCTGCGTTAGATCCTGGTGCGGCCAGTTTAGGATTGCAGATAAAATACAGGACACGTGGTTAAACCGAATTTCAGATCAACAGGTAACTTTTTGGTGTAAGTATGTCCCAAATATTGCTTGAGGCATACTTATTTGGGACATATGTATACTAAAAAAAAAAAAAAAACTCATTGCTTATCTGAACTTTAAATTTAACTGGATAGTCTGTAGTTTATTTGCCAAATCTGGCAACTGCACCAATAATAATAATATTAATGATAACAACAATACCTGCTAATCTTAGAAAGACATTGTAACTTGTTGATTAAGAGTTTGGACCGTAGATCCAGACTGCCTGGGTTTGAATCATAGCTTTGCCACTTACTAGCTTGTGGCTTTGAGCAAGTTTTAAAATTTCTCTATGCCTCAGTTTCCTCGTAGTAAAATAGGATTAAAATAGTCACCAGGTTGTTGGGAGCTTAGATTAGTACCATGTGAGTGTGTATGTGTTCAACCACTGTTAGTTTTTATCATCACTGCTTAGTGAGTCTTGACTACAATGTCGTGGACATTTCTTACCTGCTTAATAACTTTAATAATAAATTTATCTGTTTTGAATTTTGTCTTAAAAAATGTTGACCACTAATCTATCGTTGGCCTCATCTGACTTTGGCACTTGGAACTACCCTGGCTCTGGGCCCTTGTTCCCTGACTCTGTAGTGATTTTCAGTTCTGATTCACTGTCTCATTCTGATTTTCTCTTAGTGCATGCTCTGCCCCCAGACCAGCACTGTGTGCATCTGAGTGTGCTCTTAAAACGACCCCATTGTCTCTACTACCGTCTCACGTTCAGCCCTTTCAAGTCTGAAGATCTTTCTAGTCAGTGAAAAAGGAACCAAGATTGCAGCCGAATCATTCTGCACTCTTACCTTCATGTACAAATATTAACTTTTAAATGTTATATGATCCATCCCACACTGGGCTCATTTGTGTTCAATAATGCTATCAAAGCTGTGTCTCAGAGATGTTAACATGTGACACAGTGTGCCTCTTGAAGTATATGAATTAAGGAAATTGCATCTACTACATGCCGGGTACCATGCTGAGCATTTTATACTGTTTATTTCATTTAATTCTCATAACAAGTCTATCAAGAGGGTCCTATCTTACCCCATCATCCATTAACCAGAGCTTGGAGATGTGACTTGCCCAAAGTCAGAGTGGAACTGGGCTTAGGGAACTGGGCAATCTGACCAGACTGCCTGTGCCACTCTATTTGACAGCCGGGTCCTAATGTATAAATGTGTAAATGTCCCCTTTGTGGGAGGAAATCGCCAAGCTTTACATCTTTAACTGCAAATTTTCTAAACGTTTTGAAATCATTGATTCAAAGAAACAATTTTGGGGCCAGCCTGCTGGCACAGCGGTTAAGTTCGCACGTTCTGCTTTGGTGGCCCGGGGTTCGCTGGTTCAGATCCCGGGTGCGGACATGGCAACGCTTGGCAAGCCATGCTGTGGTAGGTGTCCCACATATAAAGTGGAGGAAGCTGGGCACAGATGTGAGCTCAGGGCCAGTCTTCCTCAGCAAAAAGAGGAGGATCTGCAGCAGTTAGCTCAGGGCTAATCTTCCTCAAAAAAAAAAAGAAAAAAAGAAACAATTTTGAGTATGTGTATGGTTTTGTGTTTTTATTGTTGTTGTTTTCTTATGATTTTTTTCCTGCTTGAGGACAGGTAGTTTTATCTATTCTATTCTGTTCACTTCTGTATCCCCAGCATCCAGAACATTGCCTGACATGTTGTAGAAATCCAGTTCAAAATAGTTCATTGTCAGATGAATAAATGGGAATATTTTTTGCGTTATAGTAATACTTCATTTATTTGGGCACATTAACACGTTTTCTTCTGAGAAGGCTTTCCAGATTCCCCACGTAGAAATAACACCTTCTCCCCTTAAACTCGATCTGCGTGGGTTTGTAATTTTCTGCTCTGAATAATATTTTATGGATACCACTCAGTTCTCCTAAGCTTCTAAAGAGCAGGACTGTTCAACGCGTCTTGTATCCCTCTATTTGTTAAATGAGTCAATAAATATGTTTTTAGTATGCCTAAGAGATATGGAAGTAAGGAAAAAATAATGTCGTTTGTGAAGTGAGATGATAACTGCTCTTTGTACTCCTGGGTTGTTTCTGTTTTGTTTTGTTTTTTCCTCTCAGTACATGTCACCAGTCTTGAAAGAATGTGCTTCAATTCATTTGACATCATAGTTTTTTTGTAGCACCTTGGTAATTAAGTCCATTACTCTTCCTGAAGAGGAACAAAGCCTGAGCTGGTTGGTAATGGATTTTGTCTTTATTTGTAATCTTTTAGAAAACAAGTACTTGAGCCTTTTGTTGGGACAGTCGTTCTGAATTCTTGATAACATCTGGTTACTTAATTTGAAAAATGTATAGCTATGAAGATTAATGATGGACCTTAACTGGATTTAAATTCAGACCTATATAGGATCTGTACTAATCTCAGTCAACCCTTTCAAGCAGATGCCATATTTTGGGGAAAAGGAAATTGAAATGTACCAAGGAGCGGTAAGTTACATGCCACATAAATTACTGCAGTGTTCAGGGCTTTTACGATGCATGGGTAGTTTTTCCTGGACTTGGCAATACATTTGCATTTTCTTATTATGAATTATTTATTGGGGAAGCTCAAGTAGGTGACATTGGTTGATTTTTAATGATGTGCTGCTCTTCAGAGTGCAGCTCCAAAAAGCATAGGATTATCTAATACTAGAACATTATATACAAAATTAGTTAAATGGGATGTACAGCTTGGAAGATCTTCCTTCTTCCACATATGCCACAAAATTCTAAGGACTGAAAAATTGGTAATGGATAAAAAATAAATATGGTGATGGGAACCATCCTTTTCAAATCAGAACCTTAATTGAGCTGTGCCCATGACTGGAACGTGAAAAGTGAATCTTTTATTACTTTATTTATTAATGTGACTCTGGTCCCTATTCAGACTCAGCTTCATAGCCATTTCAGTTGTGTGATAAAAATAGAAACTGTAATCCTAATTAATATATTTCATTATGGGGTTCATCACTTCCCCAGGCCTCCCCCTTTCTGCCTCTTTTTCCTTCCCTCTTTCCTTTGCAGCAGAAGCACAAGAGCGTTCATTAATCCTGACCCCTGGAAAACAAACAAAAGAGAGCCCACACAAATTCATCAGTTGAAGTGGAAGGCAATTTACCCAGAGCAAGAGCCCACCCCATTGTTGCCAGATGAATGGTGCTGGTAGCTGGAGCCGAAGGAGGCTGCCACGCGAAAGACCTTTGATAATGCTGCCTTTATGGGAGCCCAGGACAAGGGAAACACTGTCAGCAGAGGCTGGGCCCTGCCCTGGCGCCCTCATCAGCAGGGCCCCAGGGCAGCAGGCGCGGAGCTGGCTTGGCATCCTCAATGACAGCCAAGGCGGGGTGGATGCAAGGGCTGTGCGTTTGTGTTGTTTCCTTCCAGTGCTCTGGAAAGTGTTGCTACGTGAGTCCCTTTTTAGATCATTCATCTTTTGAAGAGTTCTCTTTAAAGAAATGCCCTAGAATTTTAAAAATATATATTTGTTTTTATTGCTAATGGTAACAGAATGTCGTGAAATTGGTGTTTACTTAGTGCCAGGTTCTATGTTACACTTAATAACGACAGTAAAATAGCCCTGGATACTGGCTGTGTCTTACTATCCATCCCCACTTCACAGTTGAGGAAACTGAGGCTCAGAGAGAGAAAGTACTTGAATCTATTGAGTGTCTGAGTTCAGGAGTTTCAGGGGAGGGGAGAAACGGGTAGAGGAAATACCTACCCTATAATCCTCATAGGTAGCAAATACAGAGGCACACGCAAAGGTCAAAGATAACGAGTTAAGCAGCTCTGAAGCCTTATTGGACAATGACTTATTGTCCACACCTGTCCCTCTGCTGCCTACAGCTTTCTCTCTATTCCATTTCCTTCATTTTTCCATCCTCTTTTCTTTCTTATAATCTTCTATTTCCCTGTTTTCAAAGAGGTGTTAAAAATAATCCTGTGTAAGCAATCTGGGCTAGAAGAAGCCATCTAAGACTGTATCCTGAGGTCCCATTGTGCAACCCGTTCTGACTGTAATGTGAAGGCAGGGATGACATTATTCTGGTGCCCATATAGAGTTATCCAGTTGACCAGTCCCAGGGGTAGCCTCGACCCTCCCTAGGCAGCTCCCCTTGTGATCCCTCTGCTTACATCCTGTGGGGCACCGTGGGCGCTGGATACACCAGTGCTTAACATGTGTGCCAGCATCAAAGCACCCTCTCATCCCCCCTCATCACCCAACTCTGACCTGCCAGAGCCTGCCACGAGTGGCAATTTCTGGGCCAGGCCCCCTTGTCTGTAGAGAGTCATTGCGTAATCAGGCTCAAAGCTGGATTAAGTAAGTTATGCTTTACCTTTGCGTATTTACTCTACCTTTCAAGTTACTTTCCCATCCATCCTCTCAGTTACCTTGTGAAATTCGTAGCATGGACATTATTATCCCCACTTTAGCGGTGACAACCAGTGAAAGGAAAGACAGAGTCTAAATGTCTTCTCACTCTGGACCTGGCCTTCTTTTCACTCTTTTGTTAGCTTTAAATTTAAGGAGTGTTCTTTCTCCAGCTTTACAGCACATGAAATATTTTTCTTTTCAGTAATTTTTGAGGGAGTGGTGGAGGTGGTGCCAAGAAATTGAAGAAAGCAGAGCTGAAGTCGTCCCGACACAGTGAATTCGTTGGTGAATTTATATTTATGTATAGATAAGCTATCCATGAGACTAAAGCACAGACCCGGGAGAATGTCTTGGTGTGGTAGGATTTTTTTTTTTCCCCTGTTAAGATGAAACAAACTAGTCAAACCAGTTTATCCCTTTAAAGAACCACACCCTCTGCTTTCTTCTTGGGGAAAATTTTTAGTTTTTCTGTGCATTCATAGATTGTCTCACTTCATTTCCTCTGGGGACCCAGATTCTCCAACTTGCCATCCTAGAAAAACGATTATGTAGGGATTTAAAATTGTGATAGGAGGCAGATCTAGGGTTTTAGTAGGCTTCTCTTAAGACCTATTGCCCAAGTGTCTTCAGAAACATTTAGAAATGGAATGTTGTCTGCAGAGGCGTCTTTGGGTGGGAAGGTGTGGTCCTGGAGGATCTGAAGACACCGGTCATGTCTGAAGGCTGAATCACACAGAGGCCTACAGAAGAATCGTTCCAATTCCATCTTCATTTGTTAGCTGTAACTCCTCATGACCGAGGCAAGCTTATGAATTCTTGTCTGATGTAACTTTTAAGATGTAATTCTAGGCATTGGAACTAAACGGTGCTGGGTTTATTTCCACTGGCAAGGAAAGAAATTTAATGTTTTGCTGTATCTGACCATGGTTTTATTTTTGCTTTCTTTTGTTTTCTAGGCGCAGTATGAAAACCCACCACATATCTATGCTCTTGCAGATAGTATGTACAGAAACATGATCATTGACAGAGAGAACCAGTGTGTCATCATCAGGTATGGGAAAGAGCCTTATTAGGTACAGAGGATGCGAGAGCATGCTGTAGTTAGGATTCTGTCGAGAAACAATGCTTTTGCAATGGCGGCTGATGCCAGAGGCTGCTTAATGTATCTGAATAACAGGCAGGCTGTTTGCTTTGTCTTGGTTTATTTTATGACTCCAAATCATAAAAGCTTTGAGCTTCCGTGAGGTTGCCATTTCTACCCCTGTCGCTTAAGTTATTAAGGCTTTGGGGCACATGGTGCTAACCAGGTCTTTCTGTGTTCGTCATTGGGCCCTGAACTGAAATCATGAAACGTCTCCCCCCTGTTTGATTGTACTGAGGCTGTCCTCTGAATTGGAGATCCTTAATGTCATAAGTATAATAAGCACGATTCACTAGTTTGTCATGTCAATGATTTAGTAGTTCAAGTTTGAACTTTTTTGGTGTACTGTGTCATTTGCTTTGAATTTTCTGAGGGCGTTACTGGTAAACACCAGCATTAGGTGTCTGTAGCTATGTTTCAAAACCTTTTAACCTGATGCAGCTCTGAGCCTATGCTGGGTTAAATGCTTTTACAATTTTGTTTACTATTATGAACGTTTTCAAACATACACAAAATATAAGCATCCAAATTCCCATCACTTAGGACTTGACGGTTGTTAACATTTTATCATATTTGCATTCACCATTTTTAGTTCTTTAATTTTTCATCTTAAGCATTTTTGAAAATTTTTTATTGTGGATATTTATAAACATACACAAAATTAGAAAGTGTCATAATAAGTCCCTGCGTATCTATCACCCAGCTTGTACATTTATTAATATATGGCCAATCCTGGTTATCTAGTCCTTTCAGCCACCACTTGATTATTTAAAGCAAATCATTTTATTTGTCAGTAATTTAATATTTCTAAAAGATAATTATCACACTTAAAAATGAACAATTTTTAAAATATCATCTAATATTGACAGTATTCCAATTCCATGATTGTCTTATAAAGTCTTTTTTTTTTTTTTTCCTGAGGAAGATTTGCCCTGAGCTAACATCTGTGCCAATCTTCCTCTATTTTGTATGTGGGTCACCGCCATAGCACGGCCACCAACAAGTGGGGTAGGTCTATGCTTGGGAACAGAATCTGGGTCACTGGAGCAGAATGCATCAAACTTAACCACTAGGCCATGGAGCCACTACCTTATAAAGTCTTTTTTATAGTTGGTTTTTTATTTAGATTCCAAAAAAGCCTCCCATTTTGCTCTTGGTTGCTGTCTCAAGTCTCTTAATTGTTAACCATTCTCACTTGCTCTTTTTGTTTTCTTGGCATTTATTTGTTAAAGAAAAATGTTGTTTGTCCTGCAGAATTTTTTGCAGTCTGAGATTATCTGATCATCTACCTTGACATTCCACTGTCCCCTATATTTCCTATAAATTGGTCTTTAGATCTAAAAGCTTGATCAGGTTCAGATTCAATTTTTTAGCAAAAATACTTTGTCGGTGATGCTGTGCGCTTAATGCCTGTTGGTCTCTCTATGTGATCTTCAGCTTGCCGGTGAGTCCATCCATTATAAATTCTCATTTCACTGTCATTGTTTAATTAATGGTTGAAGAAATAGGTATTTTCTAATTCTGTTATTCTTTCTGCATTTGTTAGTTGGATTCCTTTATTTGGTTACTTTAAAATATAATCTATATGGAAAAACTACATAAAAAGCTTGATTCGTTGTCTTTACTTACCAGTTTTCAAGGTATAAGTTGGTGCCCTGGCAGTTCCCTGAGGTAATATGGTTTTATTTTAAGTATCATTCCAGGCTAGTGGATTTTAAATATCTGTTTAACTACATGGCAGTTTTTCTTTTTGGCTCAAATGGTACTGTCTTTGGCCAGCACTGAGAAATGGTACTGAGAACCCTTTATGTTGGCTCCTATGTCCCTCTGACATGACCCAGTAGTCTTTGATAGTTTCCTTGTTTAAGATGGTCCAGGCTCATCTTGTACATTTTCTGCAGAGCTCTAGAATCAGCCATTTCGCCAAAAGGCCCTGATTCAATTTAATGGGAAATGGTATTTAGAAACCACCAACCTAGTCACTGAGTGCTTGCCGCTGTGTGTTGTCAATGCTACTAGTTCTTTTCAGATGAAAAGGCAAAGAACATGAACTTTTTTAAGAAAAAAGTGAAAGATGAGTTCATACTGATAATTTCCATTTCATTTTTAAGATTATAGGGTTTTTACTTCTTTGATTTTTCTATCTGTACTCATTTCTCTTATTCTGAAATCTTGGTTCCTGATGACATTATCACAATTATTTACTTTTATACTGTGTATAAAAATAAAAATATAAATACGTAAGTATATATATATATATATACACATAAAAAATATATACAATGAGAAAAAGCAAATAAGTAATTTTATTAATCTTTAAAATAACAATACCAATATTATTAGTAGGAATACTGAATTCACTTTAAAATTGTTTGTTCTTTTTGTCCTTAATAGGTACAGTCAAAATACTGGGTTTCAAAAGTCTCATAAAATAATCTTTTTCTGTGTCATTAATGTGCCAGTCTGACCTGTAGTTACTTTCATTTATTTCATTTTGGATTTTAGAGGTTTAAAACTTTTAACTTTAATTTTGTTTTATAATTGTTTAAACTATTTACAAAGTCAAACTATAAAGCAAGAACGCTGAAGCATTTCAAGGTAAATATAGATCTCAAGTATTTTCAAGGTAAATATAGACATCATGACATTTTACCTCTAAATATTTCCATATTCATCACTGGAAAATCAAAACGTTTTCTTACTTAGCTCCTGAACCATTGTCACAACTAAATAATTAATAATAATTTAATATCATTTAAAAATAAGCTGTCCACATTCAGATTTCTCTAATTGTCGCAAACAGGTCCTTTCATGCCAGTTTATGTAAGTCAAGGAACGCTGGCTGCATTTGGTTATGAATCCTTCATTTTTTTTTTATCCTACCATAGTTCTCCTACTACCACCATTTTTCTTTTTTTCATGATGTCGACTCAGTGTAGAGACCAACCCAGTTTTCCTATAGAGACATTTTAGATTTTTCTAATTGCTTCCTCGTGGCCTCATTGCGCTAATTCCTTCAGCTGGATTTTCTGTAAATTGAAAGTTAAATATAAATGCTTAGTTAGATGCAAGTTAAGCCTCTTTTGGAAGGAATATTTAGGTGATGATGAGTTCTGTTGCTTAATATGAAATGCTTCTGTTTGACCCCAAGGGGAGGTCACTGGCCAGTAGAGAGGTGGGAGGTGTTTTCTTAACTGGAATTAAATGAGAGAGTACAGGATGAGTTTTCTAATTCAGTCCCTTACCCTCTCTGGGCCTCTGGTGAGGTGAGAAGGAAGGGAATGGTCTTGTCACCTGAGCTTCACAAGTCTGGCAGCTGCTTCAGTCTTACCCAGTCCACCTCTCTCGCACTCTCAGATCCCCTCAGTCTCTCCCTGCAGGAGGCACGTGCCCGCTTCTAGGGTTCTCCTTTCCAGCTGTTCAGGCAGCAAAGACTTGAAGGCCCTGCTTCAAGGATTTCCGTTGTGGTGGCTGTGCTGTAATTTAGGAGCTGCTTTGACTTCTGACACCAACTACTGAGAGTTAGGCCAAACTTCGCAGGTTCGGGGCACAGTCCTCCACAAGACTTCCCTCACTTCAGACACAGCAGGGTGGTGACGGGGTCCCCAGGCCCCCTCACTTCTGACCAACTAGCTCCAAATTCAAGGGTTTTTACCACGCCCTCAGATTCAATAATTTACTAGAACAACTCTCAGAACTCATGAGAGTGCTGTTCTTATGGTTACAGTTTTATTATAGCAAAAGGATACAAATCAGAACCAGAAAAAAGTACAGATGCATAGGGCAAGGTCTGGGAGGGGTCCAAATGTGAGGCTTCTGGTCGTCCTCTGCCATGGAGTCATGGACGAAGGAGAGTCATGCCTCTTTCCAGTCTGATGCATGAGTTGGCAATAGCATTGCCAATCAGGGAAGTTCTCTCGAGGCTTTGATGTTGAGAGTTTTTATGTGAGCTCAATCACACACCACCTGCGTGGCTGACCTTTAGTCTCCAGTCCCTCCTGTAGGTTTGGGCGAATACCTGTGGTTTCCAGTTCCTCCAGAGGTCAGACCTTATATAGTGTTTTCCAAAGCCCCCATCATAAATCATGGTCCGTTCCCAAAGCCCGCAGGCAAACAGAGACACTCCTGTCAGACAGGATCGTGCAGGACCCTAGAGCTTATCTCCTGGTAGCAGAGCCCAGCCTCTCTTTGTGTTAATTCTTTACCAGCCAGAGCTGTGGTTCATCTGCTTTGAGAAAGTGGGTTTGCTCTCTCTGGCATGCTGTGGCTCACTCTCACCACTCCTGTGCTCCTGGACAGCAATCCTAACACTGGTCTGGGCTTCGGCTTCTTCATCTGTGAGTGAACTGATTGACCAGGTGACCTCTGAGGTCTCTCCCAGATTTGGAGCTCTTTCTTGCAAATAGTACTGGAGGAAAGAGAAGGCAGAGAAATGCTGTTCTGGCTAGAGAGGGCTAAGTTTGCAGCCACTGACACTGGAAGAGCTGGCTGCTTGATCGGCCAGGGCCTGAGTGGAATGTTGCCTACCTGAGTACATTTGTGAACAGAGAACAAACAAAATCCATTTTCCTGGGGGCCGGAAGGGAAGCCTGCTCCTTGTGCTAAAGGCTTCTGCCATAGCAGGAAAGACTAGGAAATTTTAGTATCGTTTAATTAGGAAATAAAAAGTTAATGATGACCTAATCTCTCTGGTGTTCTTTTAGACATTCACCTCCCCGTTTTCCAGGTGTGACCTTGTCTACAAGATGAAGTGCAAACTCTTTAGATGGGAAAATGCAGCACGGAGAGGCAGGATTGTCAATTTCTTCCCAATCTTTCTCATGTTTTCTAAAGAGGTGGATGCAGTCACAGGATGGACCAGCAGCTGACTACTGGACTAGAAATCAGTGTAACAAACTGAATTGAAAAAG